TGAGTTGTGGGCTCGATCCCTAGTAGGGGGTGTACAGCCGATGGGTTTCTCTCTTACTGATGTTTCTCCTTCTGCTTCTCTCTCTTTAAAAAAAAATCAATAAAAACATATTTAAAAATAAGATAAAATGTGATCTTAAATATGGTCATCCAATAGTTTCATCTTAATAAGCACATTAAATGGTCTGGTTGAAATTAAGAAAGAGAAACCTAAAACCAGTTATAAATCATTGGTTATAAATAGACACAGCAGTGATGTTAAGAGAGCATTTATAGTTTTTCAAAGATGCTGCTGTCTTTGTGTTTTTAGCCATAAAGGTAATCTTTCATCTGCTTTCTGCTCCTCCTCTCCAACAGGTCTGATAACTCTGGAGGAACTACATCAACAGGTGTTAAAAGGAAGGGGCAAATTCGCCCAGGATGTCAGCCAGTAGGTCTTAACTTCCAACCCCTTGGAGTGTAGAAAGATCTTTAAAAATCAGATGAATATCTTTTCTCCTTGCTGCTCGTTTATTTAGGATAGTTTAGGAATCATTTTATTCCTCATTATGATCGGAAAGTTTTTATTTCAGAAAACGCAAAATACAGAGAGAGAGAAGAAAAAACAAAAACCACCCATTATTTCTCAACTGAGAGATTACAGCTGTTTAACATTTTGGTATATTTTCTTCTAAGTTTTTTTTTTTTCCATGCATATATATTTTTTAAAACATTCTTGGGTCTGTGTATTCTCTTGAGATGATTTGATATCAAGGAGAATAGCAGGCACTGAAAGAGACTAGGGAACGGAGTTGGGATCAGAAGATGGGGTATAAATTGACCTGGTTCACCAGCCCGTGTGTGACGCCAATTTGAGAAAAGGTAAAAAAGGCTGTCAGTACGTAGGCTGGATATGGGATCTACACACTGTTTTGTAGGTTTTCTTTTCCCCTAATTTGAGTTAGTTGTCAACTAAGAAATCAGAAAGTCTGGCAGTACAGGGCCTGAATTTCCAAATGGTAATAATCAGCTTTGGATTGTCCCCATTAAAATGGATAAGCATTCTCTAGCACACTGCTCCCTGTTGTGTCTTATGTACAGCTCATTCATTCACATTCCTGATGGATTCCTGTATGCATGATTTTTACCTCTGCCAGTGTTGAAATTGTTTGTTGAGTGGAGAGCCTGACCTTCTCCCTTGAATGTCCAAGCACCATTTGGTGCCCTTTAACCCTCTTTTTACTAACGTAGTTAAATGTTGTGCAGCCTTTGAAGTGTTCTGTCGGTATTCTGCCCAGGGCAGAGCTGAAACTGCATTGTTGCTAGGTCTGCTTTGCCAGTGGTCTTTAAGCATCTCTCCTTCACCTTAGAGATGACCTGATCAGGGCCATCAAGAAACTAAAGGCACTTGGCACTGGCTTCGGCATCATCCCTGTCGGCGGCACTTACCTCATTCAGTCTGTTCCAGCTGAACTCAATATGGATCACACTGTGGTGCTGCAGCTGGCAGAGGTACTGGTGTGCCTTCTGTGTGTGTGTGTGTGTGTGTGTGCGCCCGCGCATGGTAAGGACAGTCTGGGAGGGGATTCTGGAGCACCTCTGAGCTCAATCAAGTCTTTTTGCTGAAACTGTCTAATGGATGCACTACTCAGACCTGTGCTTATTTAGCAGACATTTATTGAACAGCTACAGTGCAAAGCACTGGTCTAGGCTGTGGGCCATATAAAGATGGGTACCATATAGTTCCTGCTCTCAAGGAGCTTACAGTCTAGTGGAGTAGACAGACATGCAGACAACTAACTGTATTTCCTTGGGTAGACAGATTCTTGGATGTCTTCTTAAAACTACTTTATGGAGTCTTTAAAACAAATGTTTAATCTTGTTTGCCATCCCCTGTTCCTCAGCTTGCCTTAAGCATATGCCATCCTCTCCCAATTCTTATCATGTATTTAGGGAAGACATGTTCAGTCTTCTTAATTTTGTAATATAGAACAAAGCTAAGTAAGGGAGGGGCTTTTCTTGATTAGGGAATAGGTAGGGTGAGAGAGGACAAGGGGTGAATATTTAAATATTTTAGATTATGAACAGTTAGTGATTATCACCATTTTTTCCTATCAATTAATCATTCTGAATCTTCCCTTGCCATACTCTATATAGAGTTCTCTGAGAAAGCCAAAAGTAATGTTTTAGTACCAGGGACTCTACTTTTAAGACTGAACTACTCAACCTACCTGTCACCTGAAAGTCACCCCTCCCTCTCTTCTCTCTGCTGGGACCTCTAAACATTCTTTCTTCTATGCTCTTAGGCTTTCTGTGCCCACAGACAGTTCCTCCTCGTGTCTGGATAAATCACTTGTCCTTGGGCAAATGTTGGGTTCTAAAAATCCCCATTCCTCCTTCCTTCAGAAAAATGGCTACGTGACTGTCAGTGACATCAAAGCCAGTCTTAAATGGGAGACAGAAAGAGCGCGGCAAGTGCTGGTATGTGACTTCTGGAACAGCCCAGAAAAGATGGGCCCCAGATGGGAGGAGGTGGGTGGTCAGGAACCACACAGGAATTTCAGCCTTGTTCTGCTGGCCTCTTTCCTTGAAGGCTACTGCTGCCACACTAGAAGTGACCGCAACATTTTTCTGAAGATGGCACTGAGAGGTAGAACTCACAAAGGCAGGCTTCTCACCTTGACACGTGTGTAAAGCCAGGCTGCCACTACTGGGGGATCACCCACACCTGCTCTCCCCCCAGACCTGTAGACCTTGGTCAGATGGTTAATCTAGTTTATCCTGGAAGTAACAGTTCAGAGTGAAAAAATTATAATTACATATCTAAATGATATACTACTGCATATATATAATTATATACTGTTGCATATAGTTATAATTTTATATATACAAATTTCATGGTACTAATGAAAAGTTGATGTTGTGAAGAGGGAGTAAACAGCATCAGCATGAAAATGTAGGCTTTTAATACCTTTTTCCTTATCCAGACAACTTATGGGAACATCAGTAATGTTAACATAGACATCTGTAGCGATAAACCTACATGTCAGTTTAGTATTGGGCAGAACCAGCCCACTTCAAGCCTATCTCCAGATGTAGGAACTGAGTCCCTTCTAATACTAATAATGGCCTTCCATTAACTTCTCCAAAAAGATTTACCCACATCTGTTAACCCAGTAGTTAACTGAAAGATAGTGGACTCCACTTTGCTTGGGAATGGAGTCAGCGATTTGCTCAAGCTCGTGTAGTGAATACTTCTGTAGCCCTACATCCCTTCCACATCCCAATGTCTCTTTTTCAGCAGCACAGGTTAAGTGACTTGGTGCCATTTTTCACTTTTCACACCTCAGGCAAAGGTCAAGGCCATCGATCATTCCAGTATGATCATGTAAATGTGTGAAGGCATTCATGTAGACTTAAAATTTGAAAACCCCACTGAAGCCAGAATAGGATTGGGGATTATGTACTTTGTGGTACTCTTTCTCAAGTGACTTCCTTTTCCCTCCAGGAACACCTGCTTAAGGAAGGGCTGGCCTGGCTGGACCTGCAGGCCCCAGGGGAGGCCCACTACTGGCTGCCCGCTCTCTTCACTGACCTCTACTCCCAGGAGATCACAGCTGAGGAGGCCAGAGAAGCCCTCCCCTGACTCCGGGAGAGTGGAAGAGGGCACAGCGGCAGGCAGGGATAAGAGGAACTGTTGGTGAATAAAACCTGGACAACTTTGTTTAAAAAAAAAACAAAAAAACACAAAAAAATGTTCCAAGTTTTTTTCTTCCCCCAATATTCTTCACTCATTATTTTATTTTATTTTTAAAGTGCCTTCACATTGCATCTTTATTGGAGAAAACCTCATTTATCCAGTAAGGATAACCTGAGTAACAAAGAACAGCGAGCATGAAAAATGACTTGCACAGGTCATCTACAAGTCCATGGTAGACCTGGGCCTAGAATGAAGGCCATCTGTCTCCCGGCTAGACAGTCTATAGTCTCTTTGTAGCCCTGAGACATAAATAACAGCCTGTTAATTCAAACCTATTCCTTATAAAATGTCTTCTTTGTTATCTCAAACGAGCAGATCCTAATGGACTAGTAAACTATATGCATTCTTCCAGCTTCCTCTTGTAGAGGGTTCCAGGTTATGACAGACTTGGCTGAGTGTGAAGGAAATAGAGGTTAATGTTAAATGGTGGTTAGAGGGAAGAAAACAATAAATTTAAGGGGAACCAACTAATGGTGAATGTATTCTTGTTTCTCAAATTCCCGACTAACTTTCCCACCTGTACTGATCACTAGGTCCTTCCAGCCTTAGTGGTGGGAAAGGAAATCTTAACTGAATACCTACCCTGTGACCATTTTTATATACACCTCTTAATCATCACAACCACCATACCAAAAAATAGGTATCCTTAACTGCAGGTAAAAAATTAATTTGCCAGGGACCACCAGCTTAAGCAGAGCCAAAACTAGAGCCTAGGTCCACTAACCTGAGCCCATACTTTGCATCATGGCACAAGCTGGCAGGACAGTCTCCCTACACGTGTGGTCAGTGAAGACAAAAAGAAAGCAAAGACCTTCCGTAGCAAGTAGAAGTGGTTATGAGCAGGAAGGCTAATTAAGCCCAGTTTTCAGTCTGAATGCAAAATTCCTAAGGGCTGGTTTAGTACAGAAAATAAAACCCAATGTATTATCCATAGTAAGATACCCTTACATTAGCAGGGGATATAGCATAAGCCCATCTTTACCTGTCTATGTAAGACATGCTCACTTTCCAGTTTTGGCAGCAACTGAGGCTATGATGGCATTCTCCTTAACTGCCAGAGCTACAGCCTCAGAGACCCTATCTATTTTTGGTTGGTGGAAAACTATTACCAGTAGTCCTGCTCCCACCCACATCATATATCTTGTTTTTAGCTTCCAGACAATTCATTGAGCACTTAGCCTCTGGCCTAGGTGAGATGTGTGGTTGTTGATACTCCATTCTTCCTTCACACAAGCCCGCCCTCACCCATAGGCGCTTCCTCCTTCTGCCAAACAAACTTTATTGCACCAAAAAGAAAAAAAAAACTTCATTTATGTACAGTCAGATATAAAGACATCTCTTTGACTCCTGTGCATATATTTCCTCAACTCAAGACTAGGGAGTAAAAGTCAGGCCAGTATGCCAGACATGCTCTGCCCATGGCGGGGCCAAGATTGTCACTTGAAAGTGGGAACACTTAAATGGATGACAGACAACACTGGACCAACAGACCAAGGCATTCTTCTAAGCCCTGTACTAGTTTTGGGAAATTGGAAGCAGGATGCCTTTTTGAGTCTTCTTGTGAAAGACGCAGCTTTTAGATATCCAAGATAAACTTCCATTCCCCAGACCATTTCCTGTCCAGTTTCTTTGCTTCCTGCCCTCCCAAGTAGGGTATTCTTTGTGCCCAACCCCCTTCCCAACTCCTCCAGGGAAGTCCCATGATTCACAAGGCAGAGGCCTCCATAGCAGCTGGCAGAGCAGATACAAGTTACCCTCTCCCTTACATGTGGATGGATACTGATTTGGGCCCTGTGTCACACAAGTCAATACCCCAATGGGAGCTGTAACAATAAGAATCTGGAAAACACAGGGCGAACACATCAAAAATGGGAAGGATGGATTCCCTGATGCCCAGTATCAGGGCACCTAAAGCACATTTTTCTGAGCCAACCAGCTAAAGGATCACTGCAGCTAAATACAGATAAGCGACACAGCCAGGCAAACACCCATCAGAGCCAGTGACAAAGAGCAGCTGGGAGGGAGGGCAGGGGGAGAGAAGGGAAATAGTATCCAGAGTTCTAACCCCAATCTCTTCTGCCATTGGCTACCCTTGCTCCCCACTAGTTCCTGGGCCTTGGAGTGAGGAGGGGGAACTACAGGCTGGGAAGGGGCGGGGAGTACACAAGGACAGCCAAACAAAATACAATAGGATTAGCATCAGTCTCCCTCCTCACCCCACCCAGGAGAAACACCCTCATTGTGACTAGTATTGATGAAAATCTGTAAGAGATTATTTTACGTAGTGGCTCTATCATACACCCAGCAGCTGCCTGAGTTGGGGACTTTTCAAAGCAATGATTTCGGGAACAAACAGTATTTTTAGTTTCCTGTGGTACCTGTGCAGGCTTTACCAAGACCTTGGTTCAGTCCCATCACAGTTACCTTCCGTCTTAAATGTAGAAATGGGGGAGGGGAAGGGCGACAGGAGAGAAAGGTGAGAAAGGTGCTCAGGTGCTAGGTAAAACTCACTGATCAGCAGCCTAGATTCCACCACTGTTCCTTCTCTTTGGTCTGTCTAGAACAGTGACTATAAATTAGGAAAAACAAAATTATGCTGGCCCATGGGAAATAATGGGGGAAGAGAGGCAAGGAGGAAAAGGGCATTGGGAAGCCCTGCTTCAAGACTGAAGACAGACAGACAGACAACCACCCACCCAGACTGCATGTCACAGACAGCCCCCCACCCCAAGCTCCCTTCCAGATACCCCATATATCATTTGGGCATACTCCCTCTTGGACTGCAGTTTCTGTCTCCCAACTATCCCTAAGGAGCTGGCCCTGTGGAGAGGTGTGTTGGTTGTTTTGTTTTTGCCAGAGGCCCTCGCCCTAGGTGCTCCTGCACAGGTACCTTGGCCCCTGATATGGGATGAACATAGCCCCAGATGCTCGAGAGCCTAGGAGGTCAGATCAGGAACAGCCTCCCCACTCCCACACCCTGGGATCCAAGCTTGCTTGGTTCTTGCCATCTTGCAGGATGACGTCACGTAGGAGGGAGATACACAGTGCCTCTCCATCCCTGGGGTGGGGGAAGGAACTTGCTGGGACTCTCGAGTGGGGGGAAGGGAGAGGGGAGCAGGGTCTAAACCCTCAAGCTCCCATGCAGGTCTGTCTCTGTCCCAGATGAGCTGCTGTCAGAGTCCATTTCGGCGTTCTCATTATGGAGCCTCTCCAGTACTTTCTGACGAATCAGTCCCAGGCGCATCAAGAGGGACTGGTAGTCAAAGTGGCCCCGCTTCTCTCCAAAAGGGTCCTGTGGGGGAAAGGAGACAAGGGGGAGGGAAAATTCAAGTTTGAGTGGCTCACTCTAGAGCAGCGGTTCTCAGCCTGTGGGTCGCGACCCCTTTGGGGGTTGAACGACCCTTTCACAGGGGTCGCCTAAGACCATCAGAAAACACGTATTTCTGATGGTCTTAGGAACTGAGACACCGCTCCTCTAGTCTCCAGGTGGGTCCGCCCACATGCAGATACGCCCACATACAACATGAGGAACTGTACTGAAGGGTCGTGGCATTAGGAAGGTTGAGAACCAGTGCTCTAGAGAGAGCAGCGTTGGGCCCATGTGAAATGCATGCTCAATTTCTGAGTCATAGGAACAGAGGAGGGCACAGCATAGACAGTTCTGAACAGCAGACAACAATCTTTGTTCAGGAACATTATGGCACATTTACTGCCCCAGACGGGTCTGGCTCGGGCCAACATTCAAATGTGTTTGCATTTCTCAGAAGCAAGCCAATATATAGAAGGGGGACACTAAAAGCAAGATAAATGGGGAAGGGAAATTCAAGACCACGACTATAATAATGGTGCCTATGTTTTTAATTAACCTCAAAAACCACACAAAAGGGGAAAATTATCCTTCATTCCCTATACAGCAGGTCCTCAAGTGGCATCACTTTGGTTCAATGTCTTTGTTATAACACTGATGGGATGCCTAGAACTTAATTCTTGTTTATATCAATTAGCCTATGGTAAACTTGGTTTCGTTATATGTCATTTTGCTGCAGTTCCAAGAACTTAACATTAAGTGATGACTTATTATACTCAAAAGGAGAAATTTGGCTCTGGCCGGTTTGGCTCAGTGGTTAGAGTGTCGGCCTGCGGTCCTGAAACCCCGGTTCGGTTTCCCCTAAAGGCATGTACCTCAGTTGCAGTTTGTCCCCGGCCCTGGTTGGGTCGTGCGGGTGGCAACCACTCGACCTGTCTCTTTCACGTCGATGTTTCTCTCTCTCTCTCTCTCTCTCTCCCCCTCCCACTCTATCTGAACAAAATATGGAAAAATGTCCTCGGGTGAGGATAAAAAAAAAAGCGTCAGCCTGCAGACCACAGAGTTGAGGGTTTAATTCTGGTCAAGGGTAGGTACCTTGGTTGTGGTTTGGTCCCTGGCCTTGGTCAGGGTAATGTGGGAGACAACCAGTCAATGTGTCTCTCTCACATCTATGTTTCTATCTCTCCCTCCCACTCTGTCTGAAAATAAATGGAAAAATATCCTCGGGTGAGGATTTAAAAAAAAAAGGGAAATTTGCTTTTCTAAGGTCACAGATGGGTCTAGAACTCAAGTTCTGACTTCTAAATAAGCACCTGTACTCTTTCCCAGGGACCAATCACCATATTCCTGTCCAGGTTTCTGGGCATCACGCCAGAGCCAAATAGCCTTGATCATAGTCCTTGTCATTCTAGATCAAAGATCTCTAAACATTAAACAGAAAGGGGTTAACTGTCCTTAAAGTCCAAAAATATAGTTGGGTGGAGGATATTAAAAAAAAAGGAATTTAAAATGCTACATAAGGAATAGTATGGCAGCCAAGTAGTGTGGCCAGGGCTCAAACAAGTGGAGACCTCTTTCCTTGGCAGTCACAAAAAGGCATACATTTTTTCCTTCTCACAATCTGTCGGCTTCTCCCACATAAACTCCTTCCACACTTCTGCCCGCATATTACCCGCATGTTCAGGGACTAAGGGACGCAAGTCAGTCACTGTGAGTACAGTGTGCATTTTCCACTTATGAGGATTACATTCCCCAAAGGCTGAACTCCACACTTACTCTGGAGCTATCAATTTTCCAGTCTTCCTTCTTTCATCATTGGCTCCATTTCTACCCACTCTCCTCCCTTCAGATGTTGTTCCTCCCTTTCATGAGTTATTTTTCCTTAACAGACTGAACACTGGAAATGCTGCTGGATATCAGCAATGAGAATTCCTGATGGGGAACAAATCACAGCATCCATCATCTTTGATACACTCTTAAGCTGGCCTTGCCCTTTGAGTTTAAATATGGCAGGTGGGTGGGAAGTCCTTGAAGGAAGGATAGGGAAACTAACATCTCTAAGCAGCACCTGAGGAGACAAGACATTTACTCCTGCTGCTGCTGGTGCTGGGTAGAAGGGGAGGTGGAAGTGTGAAGAGCCCAAGAGCCGGAGAGAACCTTAAGAGGACTTAGTCACTTACCCAACCAACAATATTTCTAAGACTACCAGTAAATGATCCAAAAGACACAAGAACTAGTCCTTCAAGACAAAGGGTTCTCACACTCTACCAACCAGGTTGTTTATATTGAAGCCTATTTGCAATTTGGTTTAATAAGAGCTTCTTCTTTAAAAACAAGCCTTAAGCCTTGCTGGTGTGGCTCAGTGGTTGAGTGTCAACCCATGCACCAAGAGGTCACTGGTTGGATTCCTGGTCAGGGCACATACCCAGGTTGTGGGCCTGATCCCCAGTGGGGGGCATGCAGGAGACGGCCAATCGATATTTCTCTCTCTCTCTCCCTCTAAAATAAAAAAAATGAATGAATAAATAAATAAATAAAAACAAGCCTTAGGTTCTGTACTCTTCTTGGAAGCAGAAGCACATTTCCTCAGTAGAAACAGAGAACGAATAACTGGTTACCATCTTGTAATAGGAATCTTTCAACTTATAACACTATACTGCTGTGCCATTTTTTTTTAATCCTCACCAGAGGAAATTTTTGCATTTATCTTCAGATAGAGTGGGAGGGAGAGAGGGAAGGAGAGAGAGAGAGAGAGAGAGACATCGACGTGAGAGACACATCGAGTGGTTGCCACCCACACAACCCCAACCAGGGCTGGGGACAAACTGCAACTGAGGTACATGCCCTTAGCAAGAACTGAACCTGGAACTCTGGTCTGTGGGCCAACGCTCTAACTGCTGAGCCAAACCGGCCAGGGCTCAACTGATAACACTATAATACACAATGCTTCTTCTATAAGTTGTCTTTCTCTTAGCACCCCTTTGGACTAGGGATGGAATTCCAACAGATGACTCTATTCTTACAATCCTTAAGATTCTGAAAGAACTGAATGTTCTTGGTTTGAAAGATTACTGACCAAGAAGGGAAGGAGTTCCAGGCTGGAAAGGATGATTCAGATTCTACTTACGAGTACTTACTTTACGTCAGGAACTTAGAACCAACTCCATATAGTTTTAGGCAAGTCAATCTCCTCTCTGGGCCTTAGCTACTCAACTGAATCAAGTTCCTTTTGGCTCTTGAGTTCTAGGAGAGGCATGGATGTCACCCTTGTGGGGGATTTTACAGTCTGCTGGAAGGTCTCTGGAGTCAACAGCAGGGGCTGCATTACCTGCATAGTCTGGCCTTGAAGGTGCAGGCGATCTTTGCAGGCCACCTCATAGAAGTCATAATACTCCAGGAAGGACTTCTCCATCACTCCTCTGGAAAACAAACAGAGAAACTTAAATTAGAAACAAGGGGGAATGGGACCACCCCTTTACCATCTAAGCTGAACGCCAAATTAAACAGCTACAGTTCCTAAGCTCATGGTTGATTTCTCTAAACCTCAGGGAGTATAAAATGAAAGTGACTATTAACCCCAATCATTCGAATCCCAATTTCAACTCATGTCTTGCTTAATCTCATTTGTTTTCCAAACCCATCCCTAACTCCAATCCTTACTCAAAATTCTCCAAAGAAGTTTCATTAACTCTTGACTTTGTTCTAGGTTTTTTATTTATTTATTTTTATCCTCACCCAAGGACATTTTCCCACTTTTTTTGTTAAGATAGAGTGGGAGGTAGAAAGAGGAAGAGAGAGAGAGAGAGAGAAACATTGACGTGAAAGGGACACATTGAGTGGCTGCCACCTGTACGACCAACCAGGGTCCAGGACAAACTGCAACCGAGGTACGTGCCCTTAGTGGGAACCGAACCCGGGTCTCTCTGAACCGCAGGCCGACGCTCTAACTGCTGAGCCAAACCGGCCAGGGCTGTTCCAGGTTTTTAAAAAAAATATGTTTTTATTGATTTTTTACAGAGAGGAAGGGAGAGATAGAAACATCGATGTCAGAAACATCTATCAGCTGCCTCCTGAACACCCCCTACTGGGAATCCAGCCCACAACCCGGACACATGCCCTGGCCGGAAATTGAACTGGAACCTCTCAGTTCATGGGAAGAGGCTCAATCCACTGAGCCATACCGGTTGGGCTGTTTGGTTTTAACACTTAGAAATAAACTTGAACATTAAGAAATGAGTTTATTATGAAGTGCTTTACACCTCATTTGACTGTAGAACAGTTGTCTTTAATATGTCCAGGTTCTTGAAAACTGAATTTCTGGGGACATGGGACTATATCGTTCCCATCAGGCCTGACACACTCCAAGAACACAGAAGCTCTCTCTGGAACCTCATCTTGGGGAACCCTCAGCCACATGCTTTTAAACCACTTACTTCTTGTCTTTCTCTGGTGCCCAATATTGGATTTTGCCCCAAAAGTTCCCAAAGGTATGAACCAGCTAAATCTCCAAAAGGAATACAAGTAGCAAGTGAGTTCTCTACAGACACATACCGTAAGGGTTCAGGGCAGGGACACTTTCCTTCCATCATGTCACAGACTGCCACTCTGATGGTCTCATGCCGAATACATTCATTATAATTTTTGCTGTCTCCTGGATGTCTCTCCTGTAATGTGACAGACATCATAGTACCCAAGTACAAAGAGAAAAGTCAATGGGAAGAGACTTCAGGATTAGTGTGGGGCATGTGACCCAAGCAGATGAACAAGAGGATACCTTTCTCACTGAATGGCAGATCCATTAAAGAGCAACTAGGCCTTCATTTTTGAGACCACTTATTTCCCCCTAAAGCATACCAATACCCGTCCTCTGTTATGGGTTATTTGACCCATAAAGTAGCAAACTAGATCAAAATTTTCAAAGCTTGAAATTAAAGGCCTCTCAGGGAAGGATTAAGTGGGAAATAACCAATCATGCATAAATGACATTAGGAGTCTCAGTCTAGAAAGCCTATAGATATCAGGATGCTTTCTGGTTAACTCCTTTATAGAACTGTAGGGTTCTACCATCACTGATTCAACTATTATGGATCCGTCGAAGTAGAACTTGAAATTTTCAAAAGAAAAAATCCAACTTTTGGTCTTGAGAGCTAATATGAATGTGTGGGTGTGAACAGAAGGGAGTACAGTCTCCCGTCTTCTAACTTTTCCTTTGCTCTCCAGTGCTCCTCCTACCACCAACCCTGGTCAATTAGAGCCTTGGCCTCTGATAAAAACATAAACAGAAAAAAGATTTCAGCCTATGATTCCCAAAATTCACAACAAAATCACAGCAGCTCTGTATGATATTTTTTTATCCTCACCTGAGGACATTTTTGCATTTATCTTCAGGCAGAGCGGGAGGGAGAGAGGGGGGAAGAGAGAGAAACATCGATGTGACAATGGACTGGTTGCCACCCACATGACCCCAACCAGGGCCAGGGACAAACTGCAACCGTGGTACATGCCCTTAGTGGGAACCAAACCCGGGACTCTCTGGTCCGCAGGCCGACGCTCTAACCACTGAGCCAAACTGGCCAGGGCTCTGTGGGATATTTTAAATCTTTGGGGCAAACCACAGTATTCAACACCTGGCAAATACCATGTGAACTACTTGAAGTAGGTAGTTCCATTTTAACTGCATTATATTCCTTTCAATGACATTATCTTTTAACTGCATTATATTAGTTTTGATGACATTATCTTTGTGAGGCTGGATTTTCAGTCACTACACTGATAAACAGCAGGTAGCATAGGAAAAAATGGGGAACAGAAATGAGAGTAGTGGTTCATTCTGGTTTCAAGACTTTTGAAAGTTGTGTGATGCCCAACAGGTATATACATTGTATCATCACATCACTACAGTTATTTAAAAAAGAAATTAAACTTAACTACTTAACAAATGGAACAGTCTGGCATTTCAGCCTGGAGAACTGAAAAGAAAACAAAAAACTACTAAGACAAGAGGGTGCTATGAACCAAGAACATTTGAAAGTATTAAAAATAAAAGTTACATCTCTTGAATTTCAGTAAGAAAGATCTAAAAATCAGCTTCTTGGTTAGCTAATGAGGTCTGCTTTCGTTTCTACCTACTCCTGAAATTAAATACACTATTTGTTTGGAAAGGATGGCTTAGGCTTTAAGGGAATTATTTTTGTTCATTCTTTTTTATTAAAAAAAATTTCCTCCGCTTTATCCAGTTTAGAGAAGAGAGCGAGAGGGAGAGAGAGATAGAAACATTGATGAGAGAGAACATTGATTGGCCGCCTTCTGCATGCCCCTCACTGGGAATTAGGCCCACAACCTGGGCACATGCCCTGATTGGGAAACAAACTGGCGACTTCTTGGTGTATGGGTCGATGCTCAACCACTGAGCCGTGTCATCTGGGCTTTTTGTTCATTCTTAAAAGGCATTTCCCTTTGTTCAGGTTCTATTGAAGAATCATCAATGTTAGTGTTATCTTAAATTGTTTCTAAATAAATTTAGACTGAATTATTGTCTTTTGGGAATATCACTGGAACTATTTCTGTGCTCATCATTAATCCTAGAAGGTACTTTGGCAAAATGGAAGAACTTTGGGCTCTGGGGAAAATCCTGGGTCCTATCCTGATCTGGTGTATCTTTGTGAAAGGTCATTAACCTCTCTAAGACGCCATCACCTGACCTGAAAACGAGCATAACCATATTTACCTCACAGAGCCAGTATGAAGGTTAACTGAGAAGTTATGTATAAAAACTTGACAGTGCCCTGGCCAGTTTGGCTCAGTGGTTAGAGCGTCAGCCTGCGGTCCTGAGAGACCCGGGTTCGGTTCCCGATAAGGGCGCGTACCTCGGTTGCAGTTTGTCCCCGGCCCTGGTCGGTTGTGCGGGTGGCAGCCACTCGATGTGTTCCTTTCACATCGATGTTTCTCTCTCTCTCTCTGTTCCTCTCTCTCCCTCCCACTCTACCTGAACAAAAAATGGAAAAATGTCCTCGGGTGAGGATAAAAAAAATAAATAAATAAAAATAAATAAATAAATAAAAACTTGACAGTGTCTGGCATATAACACCGTCAGGTTAACACTCTCAGAAAATGTGAGTTTCCTTTACCTTTCTCTTTGGCAGCGCTGACTAAATATTCTTGCCCTAGCTAATGACTAGCTCCTTTGGCTCTGCAGGTAATGGTACAATTGACCTTGAACAAGACAGGGTTGAACTGCTTGGGTCTATATATATGTGGATTTTTTCCCAGTAAATACAGTTTACCCTTCTCATCTGCAGGTTTCATACCCACAGATTCAAACAGCAGCAGATAAAAAACACGATCTTTACATTCAAACAGATCAAAAATACAGTTTTCAATCCACAGTTGGTTGAATTGGTGGATACAAAGGGCCCACTATAGAGTCAGATGCTATATACAAATTTTCGACTGTGCCATTGTTCAAGAGTCAACTGTTATTTCATAACTCCATAACTCCAAAAGAATGTCTGGTTCCGGTAGTAGTCACTAGAGATCACCTCAAGGGGACACTAGAGAATGGAGGCATGCAGAAGAACCCACTGGATACAACAGCCCCTAAAGCAGGCTCAGAATTAATTTCCAAACGACTCACTGACTTCCACATGGTAGATTAATCCAACTCAAATAGAAATAACTTAACAGTGTTATTGTGTCTTACAAGGGGAAAAATTCGTTAATGAGGAGCATACATGTCAGCTCCTTTTTTCTCCTACAGTGACAAGATACGTGGGGCTAAGCCAGGTTTAAAAAACAAAATACAAAAAGACCTAAACCCTTAAGTAGACCTCTCAGATCTCTTAAAACCCAATTATTTCATACCCCAGAGCTGGGCCCACCTGGCCTTACCTGCTCAAAGCCAGGCTCATTGTGATAGGGGTTCTCAGTCATCAGGGACTGGATGGAGATTAGCACAGAAGAGATGCTCTGGGCTGGGCTCCAGGCAGGGCCAGTCCATGTACTGCAAAAACATCAGAGGGAATGGAAGAGGGATGAGGCAGAGAGAGAGACGGGGAAAGGCTGTCACAGAAAGACCAGTACACAAATACCCTAACCCTAGCAGCACAACCTAAGTGACTCTAAGTTTCTCTTTCACTATTAATACGCTGGAATTTCCCAGCCTCTGTCCCACCCTCATTCACCAGAAATCAGTGAACTGCCTAACCCTCTTATCAAGTGGGACAAAAGAAAAGAGGGTAAAGCAAGCAAGATAACTTTGAAGGGATTTTCATTGGGCTAGGAAAGAAACAGTAGCCAGGGAAGGTTCTGTTTATCAGAATGAAAGACATAGGTAAGAAAACAGCTCCAAAGGGAGTAAAAATGTTAACCTCTGTGGATCTCAAAGAGCTTACTTATTTACTTATGGGTGTGATGGAGTTAGTGAGGAAAGAGAAGTTGAGCACAGAGAGGACTGAAGCCATCTAGTTAGAGGCCAGGTGGTGGGGTTGGTGATCAGGAATCCCAGTCCCCTATTAGGCCCCCAAAGAGTGTCAAGTTCTCTAAGGACTACAGAACTCTGCTAAAGGATATGAAGGGAATAAGGGACACTTCTAGATTTTGGAAGGTCTGAAAATATATGAAAACAACTTCAATAAGAGAAACACCTAAACTGCTCCTCTTTCATAAATCTGATTGCGTATTCAGAGGAAGAGGGCGGATTGGACATTAATGACATTTATTTTTAGTAACTGATTGGATGGCACCTAAGCTAGGACTGCTTCAGGTTAACCTGCCAGTCCCCTCCCCAACAGGACTTTCAGAAAGCCCAGGAACGTCATGAGAAATGACGACATCTACACCAGAGCTTGCTCTTCAGTACCTCTCAACCTGCTCTCTCCTCAGCTTTCCTCCCACCAACTGTAAACTTTGCACTCCCTAAGGCGTCACATATTGAGGGACTCAAGTCAACATGGTAAACTTTAATTCAATTTCTTTTATTAGTATGTCAGCCTAATATTTTTTCTAGGTAAGAAGGAAAGAAATAAGGCTGATAAAGTGGATATAGTTACCTAAAAATGCATTGGAATTTTCTACTAAGATTCTTCATGGCAAATTTTCAATTTCAGGGTAGCTTCTTCTTTTCCACCCAACATACTTCTGCCACTTTTACCCTAGTGTTTTGCTTCCTCTATTTCTACTGTGAGCTGATGTTTGCTCAAAATAGTTTTATATTGGCCTAATGACGGAGAACCTAATACAAAACACTTTCATAAACAAACTTCATACAGAAGTGACAACTACATTTCTTTACCACTGTGGGTTACACAGACCATCCTACCAGCAGACAATTATATACCCCAGTGAAATGAAGGACTTCTTTAAGGACAATCTCATTTACAGGACTTCCTCAATGCCACAATCACAGAACATATCCCTAGGTCTGAGAGATTTAAGGAAAAAGAATCACGTCTCCAGTTTGTGTCAGCTGCTTGTCCCCACACAAACCCAGAAATTGTTGGACAGGAAAAGTAAACAGTATCACCAGTTTGGGCAACTTTCTCAACTGCAACCTGTACTTGCTCTCTGCCCCAGGGAAATTCGGACAACAATAAAAACACCAATCCAGAATATACTAGAAAACATTTCCGTTCTGAATTTTTCAACCCCCTAAGGTAACTAAAAGGAATGGATGAGAACTACGTGAAGCAAAATCTTGGTAGCACCCAGAAATGAAATGTACTTTGAACTTCTGTGTTTTGTATGTGAGTGATGTGATTTCCAACCTCAGACATTTTTCATTCAGTTGTTAAAATATCATAATTATCATCATCACCACTGCCGCCTCCAAAGCCACTCATTGACAGACTCAGAAATAAGACACCCACAATCTTGAATGGCACAGATCTACAGCCTTTCTCAAGTGGTTCTCAAACTGGAGTACGCACCAGAATCACCTGGAGGCCTTATAAGACAAAGACTGTTGGGTCTCAGTTTCTGATACAGTAAGTCTAGGGTGGGGCCCCAGAATCTGCAGGGCTACAAGTTCCCAGGTGCTGTTGCTGCTCAGGGAGAACCACTTCACTAAGGCATCCACTATATATAATGAATTAACGTCTCTCTTTTGCATCTAGAATGATACTAGTTATTCACCATCCTGGGGAGAATTGAGGAAACAGTCACTCCAATTATGTTTTGTGTTCTGCAGTTCAGACGAGAAACCCTGGTTCATAAAGGCTGGCCTAAAGTAATTATTTGCTAACAACCAACTTGGCCACTTAGAAGTCTCCTCTTACCCTAGAATACTCAAGCAGACTTTCCCATTGCGGTAGAAGTTGGGGTTAAACCTCACTGTGTTATTGCCCGTTGTCATCAGTTTGACCCGAGGAGGGTGGATGGGATAGTCGGGCGGACACCGAAACACGAACAGGAAGAAACCCCCTTCATAAGGAGTGTCAAATGGGCCTGTGATCAATGCATGAATCTGCAAAATAAAACCCCATCTCAAAATTGTGAGGTGATGTCCCATCCCAACCCCTCCTGGCTTCCACTTGCTACCCACACCAGAAGCAGAACCTTCATCTGGTATCCATTGTCAATATCCTCTCCATGCAGAATAAACAGCCTGTACTCACTCATATTAATAAATATGTTTGGAATTTTAAGAAATCCCATTATAGTGGAGTGGCATCTTACTCAGGGGTTATATTCTAAAGGTAGAGCCCAAGGTGAAAATTCAATCTAGTCAAAATCATCCTTAGGTATCCTTAAAACTCCCTTAAAGCATGTTTTTTGCTCGAACTTCTCTGATCAGTGTTATGTTTAACAAATGGATAGAACACCACTGTGCAAAATATAGTTTGCATCTGTAAAGTATTATCCTAGCATGTTTAATTTTAAGAAATATACATTCTTTCTGAATACGTTTGGATTTGCCTAGGTTTAACATGCGTATGATGCAACTCCACCCTCCTTTTATGTGGCACAAAGGGGAGGTAAGATGAATGGAAAAGAGGAAAGGGATTGGAAGCCATAGCAGCACCAGTGCCAGTAACAGTGCAGAGCTGAGGATTGTGATGGAGGCCTAGGGTGTCTACTTCCTCTGCAGAGTATCAAACCTACTGTGGAGGATGTGGCTCAGGCAGCATCCAGCTGTGTCAAAGATACAAAGAAAAATGGGGAAAACTCATGGTCCACTCAGTGCCATTAGACCATCCCCAGAACTTTCCCAAACACTATAAGTTAATTTAAAAAAATAAAAATAAAAAAGAAAGAAAAAGAAAAATGCTGTAGCACTGAAAACAGAATGCTAAAATCTCTTTCTCCAATCACGATTATTGAACAAGATTCCCCTAACCTGAACTCACCTATATCTCTTCTTCTATAAAGGCTCCTAGGCATGTAAGTCTGCTCAGAATTTGAACAGCAAGAGAAAAAAGAGCCTACAATCCAATGCTTCAGTGTACAGTCCTTAACCTTGCCCTGGTGATACCCTAGATTTTCTTTTAGCTCTCAGTTATTGGAACAGCAAGCTCAACTGGTATCAACATGGCATCAATTCTGAGAACCCAGGGGCTAGCAATATTAACAATGATACTTGACTGAGGACAAGATGTCCCAGGAAAAAACATTTCCAACCACATAAAAAGAAAAAAAAAATCAACTGACAGAGAAACCTATTCATAACAGATATCAACAATGCAAAAGTCTGAATTTCTACTGTTAAGAAATTTGGAACTATGAGTTTTCATTTAAACACTAGATTTAGAAAATCTGATTTCTTCCCAATATCAATTTAAGTGCAAATTCACTTCTGAGGGTAGAACACACAATGACAAAGAAGTCTACGCATCTTTGCCAGAGAAATGTGACATTACGTACTAAGCTTCTCTGTGATTATGTGTGGAGGACAAGAGAAGAACGGTATTTGGGTGGAAGGGATATTCAAAAGCAACCAGAAGGGATAGAAGCCTAAACAATGTCCTTCAACCACAAACACTGTTCACTCCAGCTCGCCCTATCCCCAACCTTCTCTGCACCTGATTTATAACAGCATACTTAAAGGTCAAGAATGGTGGGTTGGGGGAAGAGTTGGGTAGTACAATGGACAAGGTGACCACATAATTTATTATCCAAACTGAAGCACTTTTGAGAGGAAAAGAGTGCCTATAAGCTGGAACAAGAGGTGTAAACTGGGATTTTTCAAGCCAACCAGGACCTATTTGCACCCTAATAAAATATCTGTTCAAGGCTATATTCCACCTCACTGTGTGGCCTTGGGAAAGCCATTTACTCTCTTGGGAGCTTGATCCCTTCTCTATGTAATTAGAGATGTGAGCTGGATAATCTCTTTTAAGTTCTTCCAACTCCATGGGCCCAATTTCCCAATAAATCCCGATCCCCAGCAAGTTACATACCTTAGTCATGTCAACTGTATCAGGTACAACGAACATTCCCGGAGGAGGCTCCTTATAAATGGACATGATATCCCTGTATAACACCAAGAGGAGGTGGGGGAGGGAGTGAGGGAGAGAAGAAGAAAGGGAAATCCCTTGAACGGGACAGCTGTTATCACCTCAGTGAAGCCAGGGTTCGAGAAAGTGGTGCTTGGTACCACAAATGTTTGTACTGTCTTGTTGGCTGAGAAATTTCAGCTGAGTACTTGTCAGGCAGGCAGAGAGCAAGTTATTATCAAAGGGGCATTGTTTCCTCAGGGGGAGGATAAGGAGAGGGAAAAAAAATCAGAGATCCCAATGCATCAAATGTCAACTGGGGAAAAGCCACATCCCATTTACTCTCACTTCCTCCCACATGGCAATTCATTCACTCCCCACCCCCGAGATTCTCAGGTACTACAGCTGAATGCTAAATGAAGATTTTTTTTAGTAACTGGGAAGGTACCATCAACCTTACTAAAAAATGAATTCCATAAACCATGTGGACCTTTGTTAGCAAGGAAATTTTATGAAGCAAGTGAACTAGCAGCGAGCAATGATCTTGCCCAAGAGACTAATAGGGCAGAAATCTCTTCAGGTTGGGGAGGGGATCCTCTGAAATTACTGAGAATCTCACATCTGGAAAGTAACATGTAGTGACTATAAAAGTGAGGATTTCTAGGTCGTATCTCACTACCTAGAATGGATCAGTTGTGAACAAGGGTCTAACAGAGGATATTCTAGGTGGAAAAAGGCTAGGGACTTATTAGGGTACATAGGGACAAAAAAGTGCAAAGAACTAAAGCAAAGGAAATAAGTATCGGCAGAACTCAAAGGTATGTCAGGATTGGAAAACTGTCCTGTGTCAAGCACTGAGCCAGGTACTTTACACACATTAAAACTTTGAAAAATAGGTAGAGATACATCTGAAGATATCTGGAAAGTGGGTAATCAGAACACCTAGATGAGGACTGTGATGGGAGCACCGGGAGAGAGAGAGTTTGGTCTGGTCAGCAGGAACCAGGTTTCAGGATTAATAGCTGCTAAAAAGCATTACCCCTTTTCCTATGCAATAGGTACTATGCTAAGCATTTTTGCAAAATATTATCTACTAAATGATATGATCAAGATCAGTCACCCAAGAAGCAAGCACAGAAAGGACTTAAGACCTTGTTCCTGTATTTGAATTGGGTATATCTACTTCAGAAAAGTAAACCAGATAACCCAGAGGAAAAAATACAGGAAATAAATATCTTGAGTGGGATATTACAACCCAGAGTGAGATTGGGGGGAGGAAGCCTGAGTTCCTGGAACAGGTGTGGACAGCTTTGGGGTTCTGGAAAAGTGGTTCAAGGAAAAGCTGTGGGTATGCGAGGGAAGTCATCTAGACTTGGGAGGGGACTATATGGAGGGGATTTCAGGAAATGGGGAATAAAAAGAAAGGCTGGTCGCGACTCTGAGGTCGAGAAAGCAAGCTGTGTGTGTGTTATAAACGGGGCTCAGGAATAGATGACAGGGGGACCCTGAAGGGTGGGGACGCCAAGCAGCATCTAGCAAGGCTAGGGTGGGGAAAGGGGGAGAGGGGCGGAGCAGTGGGCGGGAGGGGGTGTTACTGAAGCACCAAGAGGTCGGGTTTCTGGCTGGAGGTATGGGGGAGGGTGTCCGGAATGGAGACGGAGGGCTCACGAGAGGTTGTCGAGGGGCGGGGTCGGACCTGGGCACTCAAGGAGGGGTTTGATGCGTGTCGGGCGGGGAGCTGGGGAAAAGGGGGTTCGGATCCCGACTGTCCGGGCTGGCCAGAGTGGGCTTTACAGCTGGGCCGCCGCGAGGGGAGCGCGGAACTGGGGTGGGGAGGCTGCGGTGGGAAGGGATGGGGGCAGGGAAGGTCGAGCCCCGGAGCTCGGGGCTGGGGGAGGAAAAACCCCGGCTCACCGCTTGATCCGGAGTAGACACTGCGGCGCGGTTCGCTCGCCGTCCCAGTCGGAGCTCAGTGTGGGGTCCCAGTGGCTAAGCAGCGCGGCTCCGTGGGCAGCGGCCGAGGGCGGGAGCCCGGGCAGCGGAGCCAGGCCGCTCCCGGGTCCCCCGGCCCCGCCCGCTGCCGCCGCCGCCGCCCACACATCCGGCAGGAAAGGCGGCCCGAACCCGCCGCCACTGCCGCTAACGCCAACAACACCAGCGACGCCGCTCGCTCCGGGGCCTGCCGCCCCGGCACCCGCCGTCGCCGTCGCCGCCTCTTCAGTCGGACTCTCCGCCATCGCTGCTTCGCTTCCGGGACTGCTCGGCAGCACGTCCGCCGACCAGAGCGGCCGCTGCTCCCACCCGCTCCCGCACCACCGAGAGCCGGGCCAGAGTGTCCCCACCCTCCGCTGCCACAGCCCGGTAGCGCTGGCTCCGCCCACCCCCGCCACTACCAGCGAGAGGCCCTCTGCAAGAGCGTCCACCCACAGTCCTCCAGGGCGGGCGGGCGGGGGAGGAAGTAGCGGGAGGATCTGGGGTTCTGGGCCTGTGTTGGCACCGCGCTTCGAGGGACGAGGTTTTGAGGCTTGTCCCCGGACGTGCATTTGACAGCACAATTCCAACATTTCTCTCAAATGTTGAGAGGGGAGGGCCGTATCCTCTCTCAAGAAGAGCGACCCTCAGACGTGTCCATGGGGTAGGATTGGAGATCCAGCCTCCTTGTAGGGAGGCGCTGAATAGATTGGGTAACTCGCTTAGGTTCCTTGCTGTCCTAAAAGCTCTATGATTAATCCTTCCTCCCTGCACCCTCACTGCTGCCATTGCTCCCTGCCTGCAACAGGACCAAAAGGAATGAAGGAAGCAGAAATTACGAGTGAAAAACTCTCGTTTTCGTGTTTATTCAATATATGTTTATGAGGAGCCTACTAAATGCCAGGCACTGTTGCTAGGCGTTGCCATAGGGATAATGAAACAGACCCAGAGCAGCTTGGTGAAGGGAAAAATTCAGGCCTCCTAACTCCAAGCTCAATATTTTTTCTTCCCACAAGTCCTTGAATATACAGGAATCAATCAAAGGGGCTGTGAGTTTAAATCCTGGAAGGATTCCTCAGGACTTTCCTGAGATATGAAAGGTGGAAAATAAAAGCCTTCTAAAAAAAGCTTTCCCTTTTCTCCCTAGCCAAGAACACAAGCTCATAATCTTATCCGGAAAGCCCTTGGGGCCAGATGTGTTTCAGAATTTAGAGTAACACTTAGCAGCAGGGCCTAGGGCAGTACCAAGTAACCAAACATCAGAGTACTTTTACAGCAAAGTGTATGAATAATCATACTAATTTGGGTATCCTCATGAATATTCATACTAACTCCACGGAATAGCCTAACTTTGAATTATATTTTGTCTCCAAATTTGTTAAAAAATTTTTTTATCCTCACCCAAGGACATTTTTGCATTTATCTTCAGATAGAGTGGGAGGGAGAGAAGGAGGAAGGCAGAGAGAGAAAAACATCCAGGTAAGAAAGACACATCCAGTGGTTGCCACCCACACAACCCCAAACAGGGCCGGTGACAAACTGCAACCGAGGTACATGCCTTTAGCAGAACCGAACCTGGGACTGTCTGGTCGGCCGTCCAATTCTCTAACCCTTGAACCAAACTGGCCAGGGTTCCAAATTTGCTTAAAAGGTCCAGTTTTGGTCTTGGCAGACCGTCCTCTTCGAGTGCCAAGGTTGTGGGTTCGAGTCTCAGACAAGGGTACATATGAGAATCAACCAATGAATGCATAATTAAGTGGAACAAATAGATGTCTCTCTCTCTCTGAAATCAATTGACACATGTTTTTTTTTAACTCCAGTTTTCACAGCTTTGTGATTTCCAGTAAAACTGGACTTGAATGAAAATGGCCAACATTTTTAGCTGGAAATTTGTTTAGCTGACATTTATTGAGTGCTTAATATGTGCCAAGCTCCTTGTATACTTTGTCTTATTTATTCCTTTCAACTACTCTATGAAGTAAGTACTATTATTAGTCTGTTCTGACAGATGGAAAAACAGGCTTACAGAGGTTCAGTCACTTACAGGGGTCACACTCACAGCAAGCTGCATAATTAGGGCTATAAGCCAAATCTGACTCCAGAGAAAAAGTTCTATCTGTCACAGCTATGAACTCTCCCACACTTACTGCATTTTACCTTGTACCAATTGTCCTTTGGTAACTGTTGCTCCCACTCCCTATCCCCTGCCCACACCACATTCTTGGGGTTCCAGAACATATATTTGTGAACCAGAACAGGGCCTGGCACAGCTTAGGTACTTAACATGAAACAAAATGAATCAATACATTATTTTATACAGATTTCATGTTTTGTTGGAATAGTGTTTTACTGTTCTCTAATAAAGATGCCAGAATATTTCTGAAGGGTACACTAGAAATGCAACAGTGGTTGCCTCTTGATATTTGTTGCTGACAAGGTAAACCAAAGGGATATATATATATATATACTGTGCATCTATTGACTATTCAAACTGTGTATTTTATTTATTTTTAATGGATTTCTGATTTGTGCTTGGGTATTTACTTAGTAAGATGGTCAAAAGTCAATTCACTGGGAAACCTCACACAACGGAAAACACTACTCCATAATCTCTTCCATGGCTACACACTGAAGAGGCCCAAAGATGGCCCATGGGGTAACAGGATTCCTTGGTTTGTCCCCTCCTTATTACTGGACCATTATTTTCAAACACAAGGCCCATTAGCAACGGGGCAGTGGACAGAGAACACTTGCTTAGATTCAGAAGAAAGGTTCAAGCTTTTGATTTGTACCATTCAGCAAATATCCAATTTTAGCCAATTTCTGCATCCATAGAATGGTGATATTTCCTACCTTTCAGGGTTTTTTTGAGGACTGCCATTTCCAGAAGTGTTTCGTAAAGTGGCAAGCACTGTCTGGATAATTGGCACCTCACTTGCCCACGTACCTTCTTTCCTCCAGGTCTTTGCTCCTATTTTCTCTGCCTGGAATATTCTTTCCCTCTACCAGTGGAAATCCTAGTTATTTAAACGTGCTGAGCCTCTTTTCCTCATCAGTAATATTGGTAAATTAATAGTAGCTATAAAAAAGTGATAATGAATGTGTACAATACTTGGCCAGAGTAAATGTTCAATAATTAACTCTTATGATTTTTACTCACCTTCAAGGCTGGCTAAAATATTACATTCTAGGCCAAGCCTAATACCTCCAGGCATATTATTAATATTATTAGTCATTTTTAATTACCTCATCCTCTGGAGTAATTCATACCTTTATTATAGCACATACTACTTTTTATTTAGTGGTTTGGTTACTCATCTGCCTAGCTCCTACAAATGATGTCCTCTAGGGCAGAATGCATGGAGCACCATCTTGTATCTCTAGGACCTGACATTCAGTGAGTACTGTAGAAACGGTCAATAGATTAGTAGCCCTTCCCCTGGCTACGGGTCTTTGAGATTTCACCTCTTCCTGCTCAGATATGCCTATTTTGTTTCCAACGGGCTGATTTGAGCTTGGCACAGAGTATCTGCAAATCAAGGCCTCAAGGGCTTTAGAACATGGCACCTTCTTTTTTTTTAAATCCTCACCTGAGGATATTTTTTCCCATTTCTTTTTAGAGTGGGAGGGAGGAAGGGAGAGAGAGAGAAAAAAAACATTGATGTGAGAGAGACACATTGATTGGTTGCCTCCTGTATGACCCCGACCAGGGCCTGAACCACAGCCGAGGTACGAGGTACGAGGTACGTGCCCTTGACCGGAATCAAACCTGCCACTCTAACTTCTAAGCCAAACCGGCCAGGGATAGGGCACCTTCTTAAAGGGAACTCCAGGAGGCCTCTAAGCTGAGGGAGAGGATCGAAGAACTTTTTAAATTGGCATTGCTTACTTTATCCAGTGCTAACTGATTTTTTTAAGGCAACGCCTGGCTGCTTTTCACTGGCAGCTTGGCCACAGGGCAAGAGTATGCCTTGGTGAGCCACTCTCATGCCCTCTGGGGATGCATGACACAATCCAGCAGTCTTCTTACAGGAACATAGAGCCAGGCCGCTTGTCTTCCCAGCTATCTTTTTATGCAACAAAGTTTGGTAGTGCCTTGCTCATGGCAACTAGGCAAGTGCCCTCCCCCAAGGACGGAGGTCCGCAAGTGTCCTAGAGTCCAGGTCACTGCTGTGTCTCAACCCTCTCGGAAAAGATACATTGTTAAGATCCTTCTTCTCTTCCCCCAAACCCTGTGTCCCATTGCTCTCTGGAGCTGTCCTTCCTCTCCAGGGCCCAGCATTTTAAAAGTCTTGGGCTCAACGCCAGGGATAGATGAAGAGTTCCCATCCAGGTCATAAATTCTGGATTTCAAGGAAAAATTAGAACTTGGATTGGGTGTTTTGAGGCTTTTGATTATAAGTATTAATAGCTATATTAATTTAATAATGAGAGGGGGGCAGGAGTGAGGAGGTAGGGTTCAATAGGAGATAAAAGGGGGACATCTGTAATACTTTCAACAATAAAGATAAAATTAAAAAAAACAAAACAGCCGTGGCCAGTGTGGCTCAGTTGGTTGGGTGTCATCCCATGTGCTGAAAGGTTGCTGGTTTGATTCCCCGTCAGGACACATGCCTGGGTTTCAGGCCAGATCCCCGATGGGGGAGGCATGTAGGAGGCAGCCAATCGATGTTCCGCCTCTCACATTGCTGTTTCTCTTTCTCTCTCCTCTCCCTCTCTCTTTAAAGATCAGTAAAAATATTAAAACAAAACAAACAAAATTTAGTAGTACCTACATTATCACATCTCATTTAATATATTACATATCTCATTAATACTGTACACGTATATATTACATGCATCATTTGCATACATTTACCTGTATTATCTCATTTTGTTGTCATAAACCACCATGAATTGTTCTCATCCCCATTTTATTTTTTTAAATCCTCACCCAAGGATACTTTTTCATTTATCTTCAGAAAGAGTCGGCGGTGGGGGGAAAGAGTGGGAGAAAGAGAGTAGGGAGAAAAACATCGATTTGAGAGAGACCGCAAGACCCTGATCAGGGCCAGGACTGAACTGCAACTGAGGTATGTACCCTTGACCGGAATCAAACCTGTGACTCTTTGGTCCGAGGGCCGACACTCTAACTACTGAGCCAAACTGGCCAGGGCCTCATCTCCATTTTAGAGATGAGGAAATTAAGGTTCAGGGCAGATAATTAACTTCCCAGTTAGGAAGTGGCAGGGCTGGGTTTTGCACACTCCTTTGACTCCAAAGTCCATACTCTGCTACCATGATGAACTCCTAAGGTAGTGATTACTAATTGTTTTTGGTCATTACCGCTCTGAGAATACAATGAAAACAATGGACCC